TCGTTCCTGGCAAATATTTATTTGTCCCCGGGCGGATGTGACCGGACATTCAAATATTTAAGGTGAACACGTTAAATAAAGTGGTATTTTTCCTTGCGACCCGTGCCCGGGTTAATCGATAAACACGACTAACGATGTGTGTTAAAAAAAGAAACCCGGAGAGAGGCTGGCGTGCCTATTCTACTCTTTCCAGTTTCACCGTACTCTATTTTCTACACACTTTTATGCACAAAGTGGACCAATAATAACTATCACCTGGAATATCTCCAGAGTCCCGAAAATCCGAGGAAAATTCATCCAACGAAAATTGTTCGCTACAAAAACGAAAAATTCATCGAACCAAAGGACCGTCGTACGGTGTCGTGACAAGTTTTTTACAGTTAGAGTCGCCGAAGTGACACGAAGGTTGTTTTTTTTATTTATTTGTTAATAACAGTCCTTGAAACGAATACAAAGACTCGTGGTATATGAGCGAAGGTCGCAGAAGGTTGATTACGTTACCATCGGCTGGATCAATTGCTCTTTTAACGACGTCAGAATTTATCGTGGCACATGTGCCTCCGTGACCTTGTCTGACCTTGTGTTATAGGTCTGTGTTCGTCTTGGGGGCTGCTATTAACAAATAAATAAAAAATCGTGACACGACCTTCGCATCTCTTCGACGACTCTACCTACGAGGCAATCGATGACCCTTTTCATACCGAACGATGTTTAGTTCAAAAATTTGTTTCCTACTTTCCTCGTTCTGGAGATATTTAATACCTGTAATTTTTATTGGTCCATAGGTATACAGTGTGAGCCACTTAAGGGAGCCTTCTAGGGTGACGGCCGTTTTCTTAGGCCTTCTTTGCTAATTTATTAGAGAAGTACGGTAACAGTTATTAACACGAGCTTTATTCCTATGTATTTACTTGTCCTCGAAGAATCGATGCAAATTTTTTTTGTTGAAAAATAGTTAAATATGGCTGCTGTGGAACGCGTCAAACAGGAGCATGAAAAGAAAAAGTAGGTCCATGGTTGCCATGATTTGAGCTGTTCTGTTTATCAAAAATAAAAGAGTCCATTTGATTCTTATTTAGTATGCATGTCGCTACGGTCGGTAGTGGAATAAGAGAAAAATATTGAAAATTAAAAAAGTGCCGGCACTTTGAATACGAAGTATCGATTTTGAAGCGAAGTATCGCTTGTTCACGATAGCGCGCGGGTGAATCTCTGTTGGCTCGTCCCTGAGCGCGGGCTCTACGCGCGCTCTAATTGGCCAGTGTTTTTCGTTAATAATTCAAAAACGAAGTTTCAAACAGCATTTTGGTCAAGGAAAAAGTTGTTCAGAGTGACCCCAGCAATCCCCCATTTCCGGGTGTTACACTCTTTACGGGACACCCTGTATGCACACGTACGTGGAGGGTGACAGGGGGAAGAAAGAGAAACGAGATAAATAGCAAATGAGGCAGCCTCCGGCTAGACGGATACTTTCATATCGTCCCGACTTTCGGTGTTCTTCTCTCCATTCTTTCCCTCTTTGACCTAGTATCGCTGGAACAAGTGCAGGATCGACGTCGGAGTCGGAACTAGCCGCGGTAACGAACGAAATTTCTGAGTGTCTTTACCAATGTTTCCACACTTTCTCGCCGATTCCAAACTCCGCCACAATGCTCTTCCTGCCTATGGAAACTAAGAGGGTCGAATGTTATCGCGGAATAGCTGTACGCAAGAATTCAGTACGGTAAAGAGGAAACTGAATAATTTATTTAGTACACGTATCCTGTCGCATTGGAAACTCTTCTGTTTCCTTCGAGCTACGATATCGAGGTGTCACAGCGAAGTGTGGGGTATCTCGCAGCGTCCAAAGCGAAGAATACTCGTGGATTAAGATTTCTCTCCTCTCCCCTGCTTTTTATCGCAGACTTTTTTCTCGCAATATCGGTAGAGAGGAGCGGAAAACTTGAAACAGCTCGAGGAGAGCTGTGGTTGTAGGCGAAAATTTTCTTGCGAAATTACCGCAAACCGACGATAACGAAACGGAAGTCTCGGTTGATTCACGGTTGCCGGATTCCCTTCCTGCTATCCGCTATTAATTAAGGCCATCCCCGGAAGAGGAAAGAAAATCACGCCGGGAGAAATTAGTTCTCGCGGTGAGAGTTGGAAGGCGTTATACCCGCTGGCTTTCCCCTTACTTCGAATAGCAACGCTTCTTCAAATCCATACCTCGTCGAGGTACGAGAAACGTCGAGACTGGCCATTTCGTAATTTCTTTTTGTTTTTTTTTGTTTTTTTTTCGAAGTGTACTCTGTGTAATACGAAGGCGTTTAGGAAATTGCAGCCGCATCTTTGTGGGCTTTACTTGGACTTGCGATTGAAGTTCGCAAAAGTGGATTTAACCCTTTGGACTCCTTTGTGAGCCGACGTCAGTTTTTAAATTGCCAGTTTAAGGGGGTGTTCTAGTCTAGACTTTTCTAAAAAATCGACTTTCTTTTTTTACATTTTCTGAAAGTAGACACTGGCAGAAGTATAACTGTCGAAGGATTTTTCCGAATTCGTAAAATTGTCCAAGTTGTAGGTGGTTAAAGAAGACGACATGTTCTTCTTGTGTAACTGGTATGAGAAACTTTGAACGCGCTTTTCTCGAAACCGTGTTTTTCTAAATGGCTGACATGATATCTCAAGTTCTAATCCAAATTTCACATGCACCTTCTGTGGATGTGATGTTATTGTCTGAACCAGAATTTTTAGAGCCTCTGAGAGACGAAAAAAAGTCGAAGAAATCGATAGTCAAAATTCAAAGTGCCGCCATTTTGTAAATTTTCACTATTTTCTTTTCATTCTGGCACTGAATGATATATAATTCAGACAGTTTTGATTATTTTCACTTGAAAAAAATTGTGAACTTTCTTAAGACATGAATAAATATGTATGCGAAATGCCGATACTGAGAAACTTATACTTTCCTTGCAAAAAAATCCCTAATAAGGACTAAAAAATGGCACTCTAGACTAGAATACCCCCTTAAACTGGCTGAGCAATAGGTACACACATATACCTACGTATGATTTAATATTTTTTAAAAATACAGAAAGAAAAAGCCTACTTTGAACAATAAAAAAAAATAAAATATCAATTAAGTTCAGTACCTATTAATAGAAAACAAACTACTCTAAACTTAACTAAAGTTGTACGACTTAATGCTATTTTCAATATAATTAGTAAAAAATAATTTAAATTGGTTCCTATCAACCAAACGTCTTCCGAAGTGCACTTCAAATAAAATTCTTAAAATAACAGGGAGTATTTGAAAAGAAAATTTGGAGTTGAAAGGGTTAAAATAAGGATAACAGTAGTTTATTAAGAAACGTAGAGAAATGAAATAGAAACTAAATCTCTGATTCAACTACAAACCACTCTGTTTCCATTCTGAATTTCTCTCGCACAATCTCTTTCCACTCAAACTTCTCTCTCCCAAATCTTACCAAATCACTCTTCCTTTTTACAACACGCACTCCCTCCGTTCTCTCTCCTTTTCCCCGAAACTAACTTAAAACTAAGGTACCCCGCGGAAGGAGCTGCTATTGCCTTGTCGTCTCTCGAGAAACAAACCAAGGCAAAAACGGCGATCTCTTACCGAAATAAAAATTTAGAAAAAAGGAAAACCAGTTGAAAACATCGATGGAAAGTTGATATAAAAAGGATCGCGAGAGATTGCAGCGTTAATCTTCTCCCGGTAATTTTCTTAAACACGATTCACTAACGCGCAACGGCATTCGACACTGGTAATCCAATTTGCCGACGATCGTGCGAGTTAAACTTGTTACGTGCTCGCGACAAATGCCTCGAAGACTCAACCCGTTCACTCGCGAAACGGTAATACGTTAATGGTATTGTGCCGGCTTCCGCGACACTGTGTACATATGCATCGTTTTGGCCGTTGGTTCGGTAGCCATTGCTACTCGCGAGGGTAGAAGTTATTATCACGAACGGAAGAAAATTGAACGAGTTTCTTTTTTCTTTAATATAGACAGCGTATTTACAGATCGCTATAACTGTCGAGGAAAATGGTAACTGTTACGTAACGCAAGGCTGTTGGAGGTAATCGCGCGAAGGACGTAGAGCAACGGGCGCACGAGAAAGGCTTGAATGACTCTTGCTCATAATTATTTCGTAGTTGCCAGCCAGCTTTGGCCAGATTTTCAAACGCACGCTTAAATGGAACGGCGGCGTATAGTATCTGGCGGTCTTGCGCATTTTCTCATCGCCCTCAACTAAATTTCCAACGTCTTCTCCGTCGCGATATCGATAAAGGTAGAGGAGAGTCTTTCTCCCTTGTTCGACGTTGGAAATTGGGTTTTCGGCTGTGGAGAAGGTTTCTGGCTTAAGAGGTTGCATTTTTTTCGTAGCGTTAAGTAGGATAGAGTTCATAGGCGTCGATCGTTTCTCTCGAACGCTCTAAATCATCGTGAGGGTACAAATGATTTACCTCGAACGCGAGAAATAGAATCTCCGGGAGAAGAGATATTTCCTACACTTTTCCAGCAGTAACGGAGTAGGCGAGATTGCTTCTATTCCGGGCACGATTGTAAATAATGTTATTGTAGACGAGGAAAAATGTGAACACGAGGGAGAAGAAAGAAGGTAGCAGCACTCGAATGAAATAACTTTTGCAGCTAGTTTGCAAACTGATCGCGAAACATCGACGCCTATACCGAGAGAGCTCGGTTTCGAACTTGTTGAAAGTTGTTATAGAGTAAATAGTACAGGTAGAAGTAAAGAAGAAAGGAGTAGAAGGACGGGTAGGTCGAGGTGCACCGCTGTTTTTTTCCTCATTAACCTGCATCTCTGGTACTGTTCAGGCAAAGTGGACGAGAAAGCGACGCAACTGCACGCGATAGCGTCGCTACAGGTGCTGCTGGATGCCACGAAGCCGCACAACGGTGCCGCGACATCGACTGCAGCCCATTACTCCGGTGCATCGTCGAAAGAGACCACTCTGCAGCTGCAGCAGGGCTCACAGGGCACAACCACGACCACCACCACGACGACGACCACCGCCGGCACCACCGCCGGCATCCAGGAACTTCCCAATGGCGGCATAGCTGCTGGCCTCGACGCGGGCCTCGAATCGGTAATTGTCGAATTTCATCGATACCTCCCAGCTTTGCCTCCCAACGATCCTAATTCTTGCGGCCACGTTGCTTCCTATACCCTTTCTCTGCCGATCGTTCCTCCTGTGTGCCGTGAGTGAGGTGTAGTCGGTGGAGGAAATATGGCGAGGTTGCAAGTTCTCTCAGGTGTGAAAATTCACAGAGTCGACAGAAATTTGAGAAGACAAGAGCTCGAAATCTGCGTCAGGGACGCGTCAAGTGTGTTGTTTACTTTGGTAAACAGTTTGGAAACGTAAAGTGCTGTGTGCAACCCTGAGTATAACTGATCTTGCTATATTTCTTTCATGGACTATACATTACCGACGGCAACTCTCGAAGCCTCGTAGGGCTCGAAAAATTAGACGGTATTGTAAAGTTTCACAGGCCGACGGTTTAACTCTTTGCGGACGGACTTAACCATTTCAGGACGGAGGACTATGTGCCATGTCGAAGTACCGACAATTAGGTCACTGCTTTGGTTTTTCTTCTCAAGCTAAATTGAATCAAACTACATTTTCCTCAAATATACCTCTGTACTGCGCTGAGAAGATGACAAGCATTGTCTCTTGTGTGATGGTAGAGGAGCTAGTAGAGTGAGAATGCAAAACACTACACCTACTGTACGTTCAAAATAAGAATAACCTCGCTCTCGGGCCGATTTTCGTCCGTTCTGCGCATAGACAGAGAACGTAGCAGAGGAGAAAAACGTAGGCGGTTAAGTGGGAGTGCGGACGTTCTAGCCATGCCTTAGGCACGTCCCATACGCGAAACGAGGTTACTCTTATTTTGAACGAAGAGTAGTTATCTTCTCAGCGCAGTACTGTACCTCTATTGCTTAACCCACTGGAGGCCAGCGACTTTTCGAAAGTCGGTCCGCAGGAGCCAAAATTTTTTCTCTCTTTATATTGAAAATTGAGAAAAGAAATTTTCGTATAAATCAGGCCATGACACACCACGTGTGTCTACTCACTTTGTGGTCCTCGCTTGAAACCAACGCAGCTTCTAATATCTACAGAGCTTCAACTTTTATTTTCTTTAAAAGTCATCTTACTCCCACGATTACTTCAATAACAACGTGATACGAATCCTCGAATACTAATTCTCCTCGAATGGATTAAAAACACTTCGTCAGTTGCGTTCCTACTATTTTGTGAACGCACACACGAGTCTATCGTCCCGAAAGAGTTAAGAACAATTAATCCTCAAGGAACAACGAGGAACTTTCAACTCGAAGACGTCTCTGTTCGACATCGACAGAGCCCAGAAGATAGTTAGCCGCATTCCTGATCCGTGCCAACTCCGTTAGAGACGGTAGCCGCAATGCCAGTCCGGGTGAGAAACTTCGCGCAACGCGTCACGCCGAATTTCTATGTAGACAGGATCCGTTAAGGCTGAAGAGAGAGGCTGGTCGAAGCTCGAGCGACAGGAACAATGGCCGCGTGACATCTCCTCTGAAACCGTTCATTCTGTCGTGTCTTTCGCGCGATCCCATTTCTCTCGAAAACGAGACACCGGGTATATAGAATCTACAGACGTGGCTGGAAAAGAGGAACACGTAGCAGGAGAAATTCCGTGTGTGATTTTTCTTTTCACTCTCTCTCTCTCTCTCTCACCAGCGATCCGCGAACACGGGGATTGTAATTTGAATTCGTTTCCTGTCACGAAGCCCGGCTGCGAAATCCGCTCGTTTTTCTGATTTCGAAATAACTGCAGTTCAGACCACACGACGACCCGGCCAATTATCGTCTATCGATCGAATCGAAACGACCAGTCTCGCGAATCAACCGACCGTTCCACGTCCAGTTTACGGTGAATGCTCCAGGCACCGACTGAACTTCTCGTTTCCCTCGATGCACGGAGGATAGGGGAAACATCCTGCGAATATAAATATAGATCCTTACGACGGTTCGTTAAAAAATACTGCAACCTTTCTAGAGATCGTGCATCTCGGATGAAATTTGACGAATCCGATAAAAATTTTGATTCCTTGCCGATTCTCCTCGAGGGAGAGACAACCACGACCGCATCGACCGGGGTTATCGATGAACGTGGGAAACGCAAGCGTTCGATAACGCTGTCGCTGTCGTTCTATCTGAAATTCCGTCCGTCTGCCTGCTGGACAGAGGATAGATGCTCGATAATTCGTCGGAACGTGCGGGACAGGAAAAGTGAACCGAGGAACAGCTTATTTTCCAACCGGTCGACCTCTGACAAACGATCGCGTCGCGTCCTCTAGTTTTCCCACTATCGCTGCTACGGTTGTGGTAACGAAGACATTTATAGTCGAGAAACACCACACCGTGTGACAATAGCCGAGCGTTTCGAGAGGTTGGGTCGTTTGGTATAGGGAAGGATATCCGGGCTGAAAACAAGGCAATTGCGAAGAGTGGCTTTTTCCCAGAGCGGCGAGAGACTTTCGTTTTTCAACGATCCACCGTCAAACGTTGCTGCCCACCTCCGACCAAACTGCTTTCAGCTTAATGTCCTTTGTGGCCCTGTCTTCTTGTCCCCAATCCTGCTACAAGCTTCCTCGCTTCTTCTTCTTCTTATACACCTACGTTTGTATATCCTACGTTCGTGAATGTAACGTACCGTGAAACCTTCCCATTTTCACGGCCACTCTGCCGCGAACGGTTCTCGAAGGTTAGAGAAAAAGACAGAGGCGTCGGAGGGAGGAGGGTGGAAATGTAGGATCGTTGGCGGTTAATTCGCGATGAAACCGGTTTTCCGCGACAAAAAGAAATTGGCAGCGTGAGCTTTTCCCCGATATTAGCTTGGCTGTGGACTAAGGGATAGCGAGGGGGGATTCTCGAACCTCTTTGTCCTAAATGAGCGAGAAGGCCTTTTCATTTTGAATGTATCACGAATCTGGGTCAATTCTTGCTACACCCGGCGTCACTGCCGCTACACATTCCCCTATTTTCGGTACTACCCCTTTTACTTTCCCGGATAATCGAAGCAAAGTCACCAGCCGATGGCTTTTCCGCCCGAGTTCCGCGTTTTCTACCATCGTCTCCCCCTCTTTCAACACCCTTTCTCAAGGCCGCGGATCCTCCTGTAATTCTTCCCCTCTGTGTCTGTTGATCTTCGCCGATTCTCCTTTATTCCACGCTTTTCACGTTTTCTATTCATCAACGCGCGCCTCTTCGCGCTTTGACGGTCGAACAGTTTTTTCAAAGGAGCGCCGTTGTCATTCGTCGAATCTATGTACACCCTACCTGTTGTCACGAGGGCTGTTATAATCGAATTAAATCTGTGTGTTCGACTGAACAGTTGATATTCGAGGATTGCGGAGAGATAGAGACACGCGCATTCTGAAGCTGCTTGACTCTCAGTCGACAGCCATATTTAAGTTTGTGAAATAAGAAAATGAAATAACAAATTGTATATATTTGGTGAGCTCCAGTACAGTGTGGACCAAGCAAAACAGGCCACCTAATTATCTCCTCTGGTAATTTAAATGGTTTCAAAGGGTGAGCAAGATGGAAGAAAATGTTTTTCCGTCTTTTTTCCCCAAAGTTACGCGACCTGATACTCTAAAATTTTAGGAGAATCTTCCTTTCATTTTTGCCATCTCCTCGAATATTCACTTTTTTCCGGAAACTTGCTAAAATGGTTCGCTTCAACTCACTTGGTCCTCCCAGTGTCGGTAGTTTCTCAGAATGCACAAAAACTCTGTACAAGAACGTGCAAAACGTTTCTTACCCGCGGGATGAGAGGTACAAGAGCCGAATGATCCTGTAATCATCGTTGGTCAGAGGTGAATTTGCTTCACCGTGTCCACCGAAGCGTCGAGACCAACTACTCTACTCGACACCGTTGTTTCCGCCAGTGGAAAAGCCGATTTCTGGTCGGGCACTCGAGGCCGAAAAGCGGGCACAAGATGCTCTCGTACGGTGAAATTATCGGTGTACTCGGTGAGAATTACTCGACGTGGTGGCACCACGCGGCAATTATCCCGGGCGAAACGATTGCAGCTGGAAAATCCAAACACCTACGAGGCCATTGTGCCGCGGTTACCCGAGGATGAATATAAGGGCTTGCTTTGTGCCTTTACAGCACATGCACAGTCCGCGGTTTTTAGAGGCCTGTCTCTCTCCCCCCGCGAGCTTTATTGTATTTCCCAACAATAAGCGTGTTGCCTCGAGTGCATCGCGGGTAAAACCCCCCTCTCGTTACCATTCGACCGGATCCGCTGTACAGATTAAGAGGATGTGTTAATTAAAGGGTGTGTCCGGTTGCTACATGCTTCGCTTATCCCTAAGTTGCAAAAAATTAATCGATAGGCCTTGGTAATATGCGGGATAGGCTTTGGAAAAATTTGCATAGAATCTGCATATTTGTGCGGTCTCTTCGATTGTCAAATTAATAGTGTGATTCGTGTGATAAGTTAAGTGGAAAGTAGGGACATAAGGTGGAAGGAAAAGTATTAAGGATGGTGTGTGTATTAGTGTTGAAAAAGAGTTCGGTGGAATATTTGATTTTCGGCGTCTGCCGTAAATGCTGAAGAGATCGTAGGAGGAAATTGTTCCTCTTGGTTTTTCACATTTCTTAAGTTACTACTCTACTATGGCCAATATCGATAATTTAGAATTTTAGATCTTTGTCAGATTCGAGGGAGAATTCTTATCGGTAACGGTAAATCAGAGAATCGTGTTTCCTTGGAAATTTTATTCAACTAGCTAGCGCGAGATTAAATTGGCGGTTGAATTTTCCGAATTTTCTGAATTTTACGTATTTTACGAATTTCCGAATTTTAGGAATCTCCCAATTTCCGAATTTTACGAATATTCCGAATTTTCTGGATTTACCGAATATTCCGAATTTTCCGAATCTCCGAGTTTCCGAATATTACGTATTTTACGAATTTCCGAATTTTAGGAATTCCCGAATTTTTGAATTTTCTGAATTTTAGGAAATCTAGAATTTCTGAATTTTTGGAATCTCCCATTTTCCGAATTTTACGAATATTCCGAATTTTCTGGATTTACTGAATATTCCGAATTTTCCGAATATTCCGAATTTTCCGAATTTTAGGAATCTCCGAGTTTCCGAATATTACGTATTTTACGAATTTCCGAATTTTAGGAATTCCCGAATTTTTGAATTTTCTGAATTTTAGGAATTTTCCGAATTTTAGGAATCTCCCAATTTCCGAATTTTTTGGATTTACCGAATATTCCGAATTTTAGGAATCTCCGAGTTTCCGAATTTTACGTATTTTACGAATGCCCGAATTTTTGAATTTTCTGAATTTTAGGAATCTCCCAATTTCCGAATTTTACGAATCTCCCAATTTCCGAATTTTCTGGATTTGCGGAATATTCCAAATTTACCGAATTTCCAAGAGCACGCGTAGAAGATAAGAAAAAATGGGTTGCTCTGTAAACGCGTTGTTGTTTCAGGGAGACGAGGATAAACCTCCAAAGGCGTTGGACATGGGCTGGCCCAGCAGTCCCAGGAAAAGACTCATTTACATTCTGGTAGCGCCAATTCTGTTCCCTCTGTGGCTGACGTTACCGGACACAAGGACACCCAGGGGTAAGTAGCCGTCTCACCGAAAAGAAATATACTCGAGATCCTTTAACCTACCTTTCGCCAAGGCTTTGTTTCAATTACCCGGAAAAGGAAAGGCGCGGATTGTTTGAAATGTAGGGCGAGAAAGGAAGTGGTCTATTGCCCCTCTATCCCGTTGAAAGCCTGTAAATTTTTGGTTTTGGCTTTCATATAGGGATATCAAAAGCACAGCTCTACTCTGGTCCACCTTAAAAGAGGATCCTCTTGAGAGGATTCGCTGGTTTATGACTTTCAGCTCGAGGATTCTTCCGTAGACCGATTCAATCTTCCCGATATTCCTCCATTTTTTTCCAATCTTAACGATTTCACGCTATTTTAAACAGATACTTTTATAAATTTTAACAAAGACGTTAACTCCTTGTCTTGTAACAACAAAATCAGTTTATGGTCAAGATGTGACACAAGAAGAATTGTATTAGGTCATCCCATAAGTTCGTGCCGAATTTCATAGTTTAGATCAATATTTCCAACGAACCTTTAAATTTGATTAAACAAACAAAAACCTAAGCGCTTTTTCATTCTACAACTTTTTCTATTTTTTTTTTGTAAGACCAATTATGTCATCGCTATAGTATTTCCCTGGATTTTCATTCAATTATTTTTCGCTTTCAACGCGAACTTATGGGATAACCTAACATTTCTATTAAATTTGTATGCTCCAATTTAAGGCTGACGATTACCAAATATAAATTGCATACTTCTTCTTATTTAACGTGTATTAAAATAGTTGAAGACAACATACGTAGTATATTCTAGCAAAGGGTTAATTTCTCAAAGTATATTTCGAATAGAATTGCAATTTGGCCATTATCTCGAACAGACATTTTTCCGAATTTCAACGAAGAATAGTCGAACAATACGGTCTTAACTTCGCGAAGAATGTTTCCAGTGGAACATGAACGTGCAAATTGAACAAATTAATATGCTCCTCGGTACCGGTAAAACGGTCAGAATACGGAATGTAATCTTCGTAGGAGAGGGCGGTTAGCCGATTCACGAGCTGGCGAAAATGCACAGAACTCGATACTCCTACCCCCGTTTTACACGCCATTTTCATCGCTTCTCCGCTCTGTGAATCGGTTGGACAGGACGTCGAACGCGTTTGCACGTCGATGGAACGTCACAAAAATAACTGGAAGAAAGTTTGTTCCCGTAGTTGCCGATGCAACGGCTAATCGGAACTGGATATTTCCGTCCCGGTGCTGCAATATTTAACGCGACCGCTCGATCGCGCGAGCCACGCAAGAATATTCCATTGCCATCGAAAAACTCCACTCCGGAACGGTTCAACCGCCGCGTCGGTTTATACCCGGCCAGATTCAATTATTAATCCGTCACTCCTGCCTTTCGACGTCTGCGGCTTAAACGTTGCCTCTGATCTATCAATCGATTTAATTTTATCACTGTTTTTCCTGGGATATAGTTGAAAATATTCCATCTGCGTTCTATTTCCTTGCGAGTTAACATTGAACTTTTCGTCGGTGAAGAGGCGTTCAATTTTTATTCTCATCTGTGAGTTTCGACTGAAATTCGAAGCTTTCAGAGCAGCAGTGACCTGACCTACAATTTTAACACTGGAAGTAGCAAATCCATTTCGAAATGACGGATTTCAGAGTTCTTACTTTGAGTTGCTGAAATTGTTAACACGATTTTGTTCTAGTATAGGGTAAAGTAGCCTAATACGAGACCCCAGCATATCTTCGTTACAGAATGTCTCGAATGTCGTAGCGATGCTGTTTTGTTTCGTAATTAACCGCGTTAATTATCATGTTAAATATGAAATTTGACAAGCATACTTGTGCAATACGTTGCAGAAAGTTTTTCAAGTGATTCGATTAAATTACAAATACCTCGAAAATAGTAAGTTTATAATCATTTTCATGCAATGGAGCTTCGTTAAATAACGAAGACTTAATCTCGAAGCTGCTTAATAGCTATCGTGTTATTGTTACCGAATATGAGAAGTTCCTATTGTAAGAGGAGTCTCGTATTAGGTAGCCAATTTTGTTTTAGCGTACAAAGTGTTACCGGTCAGCCCACGAAGTCTGCGGTGCTGAAGAAACAGATTTAATATGCCCAATGTGTGAAAAAAGACAGAAAAAATAGCCATTTTTTAAATCTGCGTATTTGCATAATTTTCGTTTTTATTTTATTACGAAGGAACCGAATTTTCTTTACTGTATCGAATTTTAATAAAACTGTTCTTAGTCGACAGTTATGACTTGTTTAAGAAATGGGTCTCATATTAGGCAACTTTACCCTATAGTGTCTTTTGTTGAAATAAAGAAGTAGTTATATATACTAATTCATTTTCCATTAGTGATTCTAATTTCGAAGTTTTTCGTGCAGTCTTGTCTGAGCGTACCAGAAGGGAAAAAATTGATCACATTTTAGTGTTAAATTAATTGATACTTTTGCATAAATCATCTCTACAATCCACGACAAACGAATTCTAAAAAAATTTAGAAGAAAAATCATACATACTGAAATTAACCCCTTAACATATGATTTCTTTTCTGACTGTGCATCTAAGCGTCAGCCATTTTACTGCTTTAGTACTGTATCAGGTAACGAAAGGTAATCTGTTACAGATTAATTACATTTGGTAATCCTCAGTCTTACAAATTCAAACGAGAGTTAGGATTACAATGAATTTTTCTTATTGATATTACTATTTTTCTCGCATCTTCGCCAGGATCTCTGCCACGAGTCTGCCACGTTATTATAGGGGTTAAACCTCCGATTTTTGGGTGCAATTAAAGTTTTATTAGAAAGAACGAAGACAGATCAATCGTGGAAATAATTTTCGCTATTATTGATGACCTTTTGCAATTTTTCCGGCAGCTTGCGAATACCATCGCGATAGAAACTCGGTGGCTTCGAATTAATTACGTGAATCCTGTCGGAAAGAATTCCTTTCTACACCCGATACAATACTTCCAGGCGCACCCTGAAGTACACTTAAAAATTGAAAGTTCAAAAAGTATTTTGCAACGTCAATAACGTAATTAGCCATATTCTCAAGATTAGGTCACTATTCCGCTGATAACCCAAATTCCCCATCTTCTACAGCTGACGTATCGATAAACGTAATATATTATCACGGTTCGATAAGAAAGGCCTGAAAGAAATTCGTTCGGCTCCTCGTTGATCGACGTAAAAAGCCCGACTCGAAGAGGGTCGGTTGTTCGAATTTTCATTCTCGGAGGGTGGTTCAATGTCACGAATAAGGTCATCAAGATCGTACGACCGTAATTAAACTAGCTACCCTAAGATGGACGGTAGACGGCACGCGTTCACGTCTGTTATTCAAAACCGTTTCCCGGGCTGCCATCAATCACGGACGTGCTGCATTATCACGGCCTATTAACGGCCTGTATTTCAACGCGACACAATGCCAGCGACGAAAGATGATATTGACACGCTAATTTCGAATCGACGACTGATTGTTACCTCGCTCTGGCATTCAGCCTCGCGGCGAGCCAGCCGCTTTTCATTGTTACAGAAAATTGCGACGCGGCCTCTCGATTTCAATTTACGCCCTCGAACACCGGCGGGGAAGAATTCGTTTCTGTGCCAACTGCTTCGGAGATTTTCGAAATCGGCCGGAGAATCGTTCGTTTGTTACACGTGGCTCGTTTAACAAATGAAGAGACAGAGGAGCTGTAGTCGAGAAAGTATCTAAATAAGTAGGATACTTCGAGGATCGTAAGTTAACCCCTTGACGTATGATTTCTTTTCCTGATGTCAAGTAAGAAGAGTTAACGTACTGTGGATTCATTTAATTTGGCAATCTTCAGTTGTACAAATTAAATGAAAAGTTGGAATTAAAATGAGTTTTTCTTACTGATATTACTGATTTTGTCTGATCTTGACCAAAATCTGCGATACGAGTCTGACTCGTTATTGTATTATATGTAGATTATTATCGTATTATATACAGTGACTCTTACTATCACTTTTTCTAAATTGGACTTAACGACTTGAGTTTTTTTGAGAAGTTAGAAGGATTGGTATACTAGATGACGTGTATAAAATTTTTTGAAAATATTGCAATTTGTGAAAAGGTCACTGTTTACAACTTTTTTACCCGAGCTTGTAACGAAAATTTAAAACATACGTTTTGTAGATTTGTGTCGATTATACACATGCTGAAAATTCCATCGAAATCGGTAGATGGAGAAACAAGCGACAGGCATCGAAAGATGTAGGAATCTTCAGATTTATTACAATTATAGGCCGAAAGTCGTGAAATAGTGCGATTT